ACATAAAAAATTTAAAAAAATGACTAGACTTTAATGTCTTTACATAATCAGAAAAAAAACATAAAATCCTTTATTTAAAGATAATGACTTAATGATTATTATTAGGTTAAAAAAAGTTAATTAAAATAAAGCACAGATGCTTTAAATTAAAATAAATCACATTTGAACTACAACCACACTAAAGACTTAAAATAACCTTAAATAGTCCAATATGCACCAATATGATTGCCAATTTATAAAGTTTTTATTAAATATTACTAAAAATAGAAATAACTTGACATGTAACATAAAATAATATCATATTTATTTTATCATATGTGGGTTTAAGCAATCTATTTGAAATAAATTGTAAAAAAAACTTGTGGTGATGTGATGGCCGACCACTGTATTTAAAAAAAGGAATGTATTGCACCGTTTGCAGTCCTGTGTTACATAGTCACTGAACCTTCTGAACATTTTAATTCCTATCCTATAATTTAAATTCCTACTTTTTAAAAACCGTTTTGTGCTTTAAAAAGACCCGACATACGGAGCTAAATAATTACACACAAGATGTTTACTTGTAACGCTATTACTTTTTTAAAGTTATTTTTGTCTCAAAAACAAAAAAGATTCATATCTACATTATATTATTTAAACTTTAATACAAGGGGTACAACCTGCAGCTCGCAAGCCTCTTGTGATTCTTTTGATGTCAAGATGAAGCTCTTTAGCTGCATCTTGACATTGAAATATTATTATCTTGATATGCACAAATATTAGTATAATCAGGGATGCGAAGTCCCAAAAGGATCCCGGTTTTATATCTCTATTTTTTACTGGTCTCTGGTGTACAAAAGCTCTGAACTTGTTGGTTGATTTATAATCTGCTAAATAAAAAAGCTCATGAAATTTAATGACTTGAAACATTGTTTTGAAGTCCAAAGTCCCAGAGTCCTAGCCGCCATTATTCCTAAGGACTCCGGGGTCAAAATGATATTGTTCCTCTAACCAAAAAGTCTTAACTTTTTTACCAACAGTAGTACAAAAGCGTTTTGTATATTATTAGAGCACCTGGATACCAAAAACTAGGAAGCGATAATCTTTTTGTAACACTCAAATCCGTAGGGTATTTCGGGACTCTGCATCCTTAAATATTTGTACAGCCGTAGCGCAGTGGTTAGAGCGCTTGTTTTATGAGGAGGAGATCCATGTTCGAAAGGAGATTTGTACCTATTTCGCGTCACGGTAAGGAAGGAGGCGTGAACTTCTTGGTTAAATACACTTCCACGGTGCTCTGTGACAAGACCGTTAGATCATCTTGGGGCACCTAAATAACAAATTCAAAAATATATATATATAATTTTAAAATAAAGATAATGGTAGCTCTTTAAACAATGAAAAACTTAGTATATTGTGACTTCCGACTCTTCCGTCTCAAAAGGTAGCCAACCCCTGGTTTATACAACTTTTTATATGCTTCTTTTGTTATTCTAGACTCTATTAAAAATAATTTGCTTTCACTGTAAATTTGTATGTTAAAGTGAGGAGAACTTTATTAACTTGAAATATGATTATAATTTAAACGTGTAAACATTTTTGTGAACCCTCTAATTTTTTTTTGAAGAGTAATTCTTTGTATTTTTAAACTGAAATTATGTTTATAATTTAAAAGTTAAATTTTTTTTTTTTCTGGACTTTTTACCTTAATTCACTTTTTGTTCAGAGCAATTTGTAATTTTAAATGATTATATTCATTTGAAAGTATGTTCATAAGTTCAAATTTGAATACATTTTTATTTTCTAAACATTTTACATTGAACCACTTTTATGTTTCAGTTGTAAACTATTATGTTTCAGTTGTAAAAATTGCCAAAAAATTGTTGACGTAATTAATGGACAGCCCCACGTCATGTAGACGCCGCCAGACAGTTTTTTTATCTGAGCGTCTTTACTTCACTTTTTGTAGACATATTTTTCATTTATTTTTAATGGATTCTAGTAAAATAATTTATGGTAAAATATAAAATTTGCCTTGACTATTCTGTTCGTAATTTAGACATATTGTCTAACTTACTTAACGAAGTGCACCAACTAGAAGGTAAGCCATAGGACTTTGCATTCCATATGTAAGTTGTAATGCTATCTAAAGTTAGCTCTCCAATTCTAGATTCTTTCCTTTATATTTTTGTTATTAATAGAATAAATACAACTATTACTGCATTAACAATATGATATTTATATTCAAATGATATTTACTTTAAAGTTGTATACTACTATATATAAAAAAAAAATTTGAACAGTCTCACTATCTACAGGATCCTCAGGAAGCTAATTTATTATATCGTTGTAATAAATTAGCTTCCTGAGTAATTTATGATTATCGATTTCATAATTTATGATTTATTGTAATTTATGATTATCGAGCACTCTTTTTGTAGCATACTCTAACGAAATTAATACACATATTTTAATTTTTTATTTAGTAGTTTACATTACTTTGTTTAGAACGATTTTTAAAACATTTAACATTTTAGATGTCAAGCATTATGAAATCTACACAAAATAGAAAATCAATATATTTGTTAAACATTTATAACAAATAAAAAATAAGATGCTCTTAGAGAAAATTAAACAATGAAAAAAACAGAAAAAAAGATTGTAAATATAAGAGATATTCAATTATTTTATTCACATATAAATATAATTATTATTCAATCATAGCCAATTATTTAAGGCTTAAAATAGCAACTTTAAACATCCCTCTCTAGAAGTTAAAAAAATTTCGTTAACCCTTTCTTTATCTAGAACCATTTTGATATAAATTGACATTAAAAGTAGGTCATTCAATGACTTTTTTAACACTCTACTTCTTAAATAAGTTTTTAATCTCTTTTTTTTTAAATAAGTTTTTAATCTCTTTTTTTTTAAATAAGTTTTTAATCTCTTTTTTTTTAAATAAGTTTTTAATCTCTTTTTTTTTAAATAAGTTTTTAATCTCTTTTTTCTTAAATAAGTTTTTAATCTCTTTTTTCTTAAATAAGTTTTTAATCTCTTTTTTTTAAATAAGTTTTTAATCTCTTTTTTCTTAAATAAGTTTTTAATCTCTCGGTACCTAGATTTAAATCTTTAAAATATTCAAGAATGTTGGGGGGGGGGGGAGGAATTTGTGGGGGGGGGGGGGAATGTTGGGGGGGGGGGGAATCAGTCATTGTCATGACTTTTGTTTAAAAAATACTAGATGAGGGTTTTGATTGATCTTTCTAAAGAGGCTTCCATAATTCAACTCTGCATGAATAAAGGTTGAATGCAGAGTTGGAATGATAGATATCTAGAAACTCCTAAAAGTAGATTTGCAAATCTTAGTTTTAAGGTAACTTAACATGACAGTTGGAACTGCAAACATCCCATATAAACCAACTTATATAATTAATAAGCTCATTAATAAGATGGTCCAGTAGAGATAAAGAGATAGAAAGCTTAAAATAACCAGATGATGAGTGATTATCATGATTGATTTGCTTTCCACATTTACTAGTTTTTTATTTTCTTTTACATTTAAAGTCATAGCTAATTCAAAAGCAATATTAGACCAGTTGTAGCGATATAAATCAATACCAAATTTAATCTCTTGAAGCGTGTTTTTTTAATTGTCGATATCAAGATTCTGAAATTTGAGATATGTTGTGTTGCTTATCTTGGAGTCTAATAACAATCTAAAAAACTCAATTCATCAAATTTTGGTTAAAACTTAAATTACTTTGAAATAAAGTTCAAACATCAACCATGAAGAGACTTTAGCTAAAAAAATGACTTTTCTGTTTTTGAACCCAACAAGTAAAATAGACATTGATTAGCTTTGGCATACCAACAGAAATATAATTATTTAAATATGCCTGTAATTTTCGACTAAGGATACATTTAAATAATTAAGGAGAGTCAACAAACCTTAAGAAATTTTTACGAGTATTATAGTTATTGCCTATATATCTTATAACGATAGACTACTGTTTGAAATTGACACAATCAGATGCTTTATCAGCTAAAATTGAATAGTATTTACTATTATTTATTTCAGAAATAAGAATCTTCTCAAAAGCCTCACTATAACACTCCATAAGTTGATTTTGTGTGGTTTGAGAAATGTGACATTTTTAGGGGTTGATATTAAATGATCTTATAAGATAATTAATATATGATCTTACAATATATCACCTGCATAAATTCCAAAATTAAATAGTTCGAAAATATTTCCTTCGACTCTTGAGGACTCACTTATTTTATAGTCTCCAATATTGTATTATATTTGATTCTAATTAACAATAGAATCAACTTATAAGATCCTCTTTAATTAAAGCTTCAATTTGAAGATTAACATTTTTTTTGAAGAAATAAAATACTATAAATAATAGTTTTGCCTCTGTGGCAAAACTATTATTTATAGTATTAACCTGTTTAATAAAATAATAATGTTTTAGTTAAATGTTATAAGAATTAAAAAACAATAAGCACAGAAACAGTAAACTAGTAAACTAGTTACAGTTATAAAAAGTTTTCAAAGTAAACTAGTTACAGTTATAAAAAGTTTTCTAAGTAAACTAGTTACTGTTTTCTAAGTAAACTAGTTACTGACTGTAGTCAGTGCCGTGCCAGACAGCTGGTGGGCCCCCCCCCCAAAAGTGGGTTTTGGACCCCATTAAAAAGTTGAGATAAAAGACAGAATATGTTGGTATTACTTATTCCATATGCATGATCAGATAATTTTAAAGCCGTTTAGCTCAAGTGGTAGAGTGCTTGTCTCTCTAATCGAGTCGACTCAAGAGATCCGGGTTTCAAAACACCTTCTGGACAAGATTTCTACAACGGTTAGGAAGGAGGCGTGAACTTCTTAATAAATGCTTTTCCACTGTGCTCTGTGAAAAACTTCTTGGAGCACCTAAAAACAAATTATTAATAAAAAAGATATAGAAACTTGATTTTTTTTAACTGCTTGCTACAAAACTTTATTTACAAAGTGTTATTCAATGAGGCTCAACTAAATGCTTTCGACGAACTTTTGAGTCTGCAAAGACCTCAATAAGGTGGTCACAGTTTATCTTCCGGGCACAGTCGCTTTCTATTGAGAGCATGGCTAGAGAAGACAGCCGATCTTGCGTCCTTGTTGAGCGATGGAAATTTTTGATAAGTTTTAATTTACTGAAGCTTCTTTCAGCAGTTGCTGCTGTCACAGGGCAAGTCAACAAAACACGGAGTGCGATAGCGACATTAGGATACACCTCCTGGAGACATTTGCTGTTGATATAATTCAGAAAATGTATTGCAGTTTTTAGTTTTTCATCGTTTTCTAAAACTAGATGAATAAATCGCTTTAATTCCATCTCCATTTCAAACGGATCTATATCACTCATTTTATTGTGAAAATTCTGGCACTTCAGCAAAAGGGTGTTGTCTTTGTATGCTTGAAAAAAACTTTTCTGATTGAACAGAAATGAAAATACAGCAGCCACATCATGTGTTTGTTGGAAACGCTCCCGTACAGATTGTAAAGCTTGGTCCACAAGCACAAAAAAAAGTCAGTTTTGAACTGTGATTGGGGCGTTTGACTACCGCTTTCGTCGTCTCCTTCATAATCAAACAATTTTTTCTTCCTATTGTTGCGAATTGATGGAAAATTTCTTGAAATATTTAGTTCTTCTGCAATTTCACGGGCTGTGGTCTCAGCACTTGAGAATCCATTTTCTCGATACTTCTCTAAAAATGCCTCAGTTGCTCTGATTTCATTTTCCATAACAACTAGAGAAATACCAAAGGATTAAATGAGCTTGCTTGTTTTGTTTACTTGGAATAAAATGTCATACCAGATGACAATAGACAAAAGAAATGCCCAGTCTGAAATATATGTTATGAATGACCGAGCCTCCGTAGCTGTTTTTCCATCTTTTTTTTTCTATTGCATACTCCTCCAGTTTTTCCAGTGAAATCAAAACATCGCCAAAATAATACCGCAGAGGTTTAATACAGTTAATTCGACTTTCCCATCGAGTGTCCGATTGATTTTTAACAGCAATCTCCACATGTTCTTTCAAAATGCTCCAGCGCTGTGTGGATGATGAAAATATGGTGTACAACCTGGACAGAACACCAAAGAATGATAAAGCCCTAGTTGACGACTTGACACTGTCAACCACAACTAAATTCAAGCAGTGATTAGCACAAGGCACATACAGAGCTTTCGTATTTGTTTGTAGAATTCGTGACTGAACACCAGAATTCTTCCCTTTCATATTAGAACCATTATCATACGACTGGCCCCGACAGTCAAACATATTCAGTTTTAACTCCTTTGCTTGCTCTAAAAATGTGTCAAAAAGCCCTTTTCCTGAGCTGTCACTAACTTAAAGGTATCCAAAAAAAGTTTCCTTTATTGTGACTTCATTACCTGTATCACACTCAACAAAACGCAAAATGACTGTTAACTGTTCTTGGTTAGAAACATCCAGAATTATCGCATAGTACTTAGATATCATTAGTTTTTTCAGGTTTTCTTTTTCTACTTTTCTACTACTTTTGCAATAAGTTGAATTAACTCATTCTGGATTTTGTTGCTGAGGTAGTGATCATGTGTTTGTTTTTTTTTCAATCCTTTTCTGTAGCTCGTTCAGTACAGGATCTCTTTTTGCTAATAGCTCAAACAGACCCAAAAAGTTTCCATTGTGTGGTGAGCTAAGTACTTCTTCGGAACCTCTAAATGGGTAATTCCACATCAAATCACCCAAATTTTTCAAGATTTTGAACCATAGGTCTCATAATTTCTTTAAACTTCTTTAGCTGTTGCATTTCATATAGAAAAGTTCACATGCAAAATTTTAGCCAAAAATGTTCAGCCGTTCACAAGATATCAAGGTTTTAATATAGACCTGGTTTCCCAAAATGACCTGGTTTCTGTGTCATTTTAAAAAAACGTTTGCTCTAATAAAATGAAAAATAATGAAAATAAAAATATGAAAATTAGCATTTATAATGCTTTTCTAATGCAGAATTCAAAAAATGCACTTAGAATGCTGAAATATGAGCAGAACATGCTTTAAAATTAAAAACACACCTAATTTATATATTCAAACTTAGGGGTCATATATCTCAAAACACCCCTGTCTAGATTTTTTTTTTTTTTGCTTTTAATATTTTTAGCTACTTATTATCTTACTAGGCACAAAAAACCTAACTGGAAAAACAACTAAAACATATAGAACCATAGTTTCCAAGATAAACCACTTTTATGGGTGCCCATAGCAATTTTCTAACGAGGGGGAGGGGTGAGGGAACAACAAAATATTTTTAGTGATGTTCTAATTTAGTTCAATTTACCAAGAATACTTAAAAAAAAGCATATTCCAAAAGACATGGTGAAAATAACTTTTTTTTATTACAGTTAGAGGGGAGGAGAATAGTGTTTCAATAACACCTGGCATTGCCATATCTCTGTCATTTAAACCGTTTAGCCAATAAAACATATCAAACTACTTTGTATGAACAGTAGTTACTTAGTAGTGATAAGTTGTAGATGAGTTAAAAAATAGAAAGTAGGATTAAATCCACTGAGACATCATTGTTAACTCTTATCAAGCTCCAATTATCCTACAGCCAAAGATTTGGAAATATCTAATACTATATCATTATTTAATATATTTAAAACTAGAGCTTTTTTTTTTACTGAAAACTAAGTAGGAAAGATCTTTTTTTTTTTTGTATCCTTCGAATTGCTTTTTTCTTACTGCAAAAGCATTCAATACACTTCATTGCAAACTAATTAAAAAATTAAAAGGGTATGGCATCACTTAAAAGCTGCTAAAAATCTTCCTAAAGATAGTACATGTGTAGCAAATTATAGAATTCTGTAAAGAATTAATTTTGGTTAATAGACTTTTTATATATTTAAGGAAGTCTTAATTATATGATAACTTAATTATATGAACTTAAAAACTGAAAAAACATCCGGTTTTGTTTTTATATAAAAACATTTTATAAAAAATAATTGTTATGTTAATATGATATTTTTTTAAATTTTGACAACTAAAGTTTGTAAAAGTTTATTAAAAATTAGTTTATAAAAGTTTAGTTTATAAAAGTTCAGATATAGAACAACATTTATTGGTAAGATTATATTTAAATTTAAAAAAATTAGTAATTTAGATAATATAATTATTTAAAAACTTCTTTTTTTACAACATTTATTAATATTAATAATAATAATATTAAGAACAACATTTATTAAAAATTATATTTATTAAAAAACTTTTTTTACATACAATTAAGTAGAAGAATTTTATTTTTATTTTTAGGAAATACTTTCATACTAAATAATTTATCTTATTAAGATGTGTTCTATTGGGTTAATGACATCAGATGCTTGCGAAGGCCAACAAGATGTTATTGAAACTTTAAGCAACGAAGAAAAAATAATTATATCTTTACGCTGTAATATTGAATTATCAAACTTAGAAATATTATGTGAAAGACATAATACAAAATATTTGAAAATGTATCCTATATGGCAGAAAGCTTGTTGTGATCCATTCAATAGACATACAAAGAAAATCACAAGTATGTAGCTGCAAAATTTAAATATTTCATTAATTTATGTTTTTCAAAAAATAAACGAAAGTTTTGAACTAATGTGCAGACATACTTTATACAATTCAATTACTTTTAGAAAATCTTGGCGTAGTTACAATAAAAGAGTCACAAGTCATGATGAGAAATTGTTTGAATATTCCTCCTGGGAAGAAACTTTGCAAACCTTGTAAACAAAAGATTGCCAGAAAAAAAGAACTTACAGAAGAGGAGCAAAGTAAGAGTGAACAAGATGAGGATTTTCTAATATCACCATGCAAAAAAATAAGGCAGGAGATCAATAAAGAACTCAAAAATTTTAGTTTATCTCCTCTAAAATCTCATTCAAAATCATTAAAACATATACTGTCAGAAGGAAAGCAAAAAGTTGCATGCATCAACGAAATGGCGTATAACGCTACTAGAAAAATTGAAACTCAATTTTCCTCAAAACTATGTTATGAAACCAATGGGATGAAAAAGAAGGCTGCAAACTTTGATGAAATTATGAGCTTGGTAAAAGAAAAAATTCTATGTTCTGACAAACGAACTATTGTTCAACTTCTAACACTGGCACCCCCAAGTTGGTCAATATTAGAAGTACAAAATAACTTTTCGGTTACAGAATACCAGGCCAAGATGGCTAGAAAAATTTTTAATAAAAAAGGATTGTTAGGTATCTCTCCATTGTATAAGGGTAAAGTCTTACATAAAGAAATAGAAGATTCAGTTAAATTGTTTTATGACTCAAGTGATTTATGTCGAACTATGCCTGGAAAAAAAGATTATGTCAGCATTCAAAAGAACGTCCACAAACAAAAAAACTGCTTTTGTGTAATTTAAAGGAACTATGTGTATTATACAAAGAAAACAATCCAGAAATACAAATAAGTTACTCAAAATTTGCTTCACTTAGACCAAAGTGGTGCATTTTGCCAGGTGCAAGTGGTACACATTCTGTTTGTGTTTGTTCTTATCACCAAAATGCCATTTTGCTAGTGGATGCCTTAAATATTGAACTAACGTATAAGGATTTACTTTTGAAAACTGTTTGCTCAGTAGAAAACAAAGAATGCATGCTTGCACAGTGTGATAATTGTCCTGGTAAAGAACTGCTCACCATGTATTTGTATGAGATTTTTGGAGAATACGAAGATGATTTTGAGATACACTACAAACAATGGCAAACTACTGATCGTGCAACACTATTGAGTTTAACAACAGATGTTCCAACGTTTATTGAACTATTGGTATCTTGTTTTGAAAAGCTACAATCTCATTCTTATATTGCCAAATCTCAATCACAATACCTTAATCAACTAAAAGAAAATATGGATCAATCAAACATTATCATTCTTGGCGACTTAGCTGAAAATTATGCTTTTGTAGTCCAAGATGAAATACAGAGCTATCACTGGAACACCCAACAATGTTCTTTACATCCATTAGTGATATACTATAAAGAAGAAAATGGTGTAGTGAAACATATTTCTTACTGTTTTATATCAGACGACATTACACACGATGTAACTTATGTATACAAGATATTTCAACTAATTATACCAATATTAAAAACAAAATTTCTTGATTTATCCAAATTGCATTTATTCACTGATGGTTGTGCAGGACAGTACAAAAATTGTAAAAGCTTTTACAATCTATGCCAACTAGAGACAGAATTTTCCCTCAAAATTGAATGGAACTTTTTTGCCACGTCCCACGGAAAGTCACCATGCGATGGAATTGGTGGTACTGTAAAAAGGTTAACAGCACAAGAAAGTTTAAAACGACCATACAGAAACCAAATTCTCACATCAGAGGCTATGTATGAATTTTGTGTTGAGAAAATTAAGGCTGTTAACTTCATTTACATAAAGGGATTGGACTTACAATTGCAACGTGAAAAGCAAAAAGAAAGGTACACTGATGTAACAACTCTACCAGGTACTCGTAGCTTTCATCAATTTATACATCTTGGAGATAATAGGGTTGGGGCGAAGAGGTGTAGTACAGACACTAAATATACAATAATTCACAATCTTAAAAAAAAACATATATTTGAACCTGATACTGTCACTTTAGGAGGTTATGTTGCGGTAGTTTATGATGATAAGTGGTGGATCGGCATTGTAACTGAAATCAACCTAGAAGAAGTTAATGCTGAAGTTAAGTTTCTCCACCCAAGAGGTCCATCAATCTATTTTAACTGGCCTGAAAGAGACGACCACTGTTTTATTCCTAACATCAATATATTGAAAAAACTATCTGTTCCACAAGCTTGCTCTAGTTCTGGTAGAAACTATGTGTTTGAAAATGTTGAAATAGAAGAAGTGCAAGTAAAATGGTAACAATATTGTGAACTATTACAAATACAGTCAAAATAACTTGCACATTCGATACTTTTAAAAATCTTGAATATTTAAGTAACTTTGTAAATTAGGAATAATTTATTTTAATTGAATTTATAAATATTTTTTAGGAATTTCTTAAAAAAGTTATACATCTTTAAAATTAAAGTTCTATATGTTTCAGTTTTTTTTCCAGTTAGATTTTTTGTGCCTAGTAAGATTATAACTAGCTTAAAATATTGAAAGCAAAAAAAAAAAAATTTGACGGGGGTGTTCTGAGATATTGGGCCCTAAAGTTAGATTATATAAACTAGTTGATTTATTAATTTTTAAGGATGTTCCTCTAATATTTCAGCATTTTAAGTACATTTATTGAATTCAGCATTAAAAAACCATTATAAATGTATATTTTTATATTTTTGCCATTTTTATTTCTTATTTTATTGAGGAAAACAACTTTTCAGAATGTTATGAAAACCGGGTCATTTTGAGAAACCAGGTCCAAATTAAATTTGCTGTATCTTGTCAACCGCTTGACATTTTTAGCTGAAATTTTGCATGCAATATTTTTTATAAATAGGAATCATGTGCCAAATATAAAACAAAAAGAAGACACATGGTTCAATGGAGTGGGTGATTTGATGTGGAATTACCCAAATGCTAAATTTCTTTCTGACAGGAACTTTATAATGTCAATAAGACGCTCCAGGACATCCCTCCAAAATTGCCTTTCTTTAAGAAAAAGCTGCATTTCTTGTTTATCTATGGATGAATCATTATTGATACCCTCTTTAAGCTGCATCCATTGTCTAAAACACTTTTGATGGGATGTTCCTGTTTCATGGTCTTTTAACTTCTTTGATAGTCCCTCCCATGTACTAGTACCACTACGAAACGGACTTTCATTTGTTTTAAAAAGTTTACAGCAAAAACAAAAAATCTTGTCAGATTTTACCGAATACACAAGCCATGAGCGAGGCACAGTTTCTCCATTATTCATGACACGCTTGTAATGAACCGTTGAAAATCGACGCCTTGCAGCAATATTGTATGGAAAGTCAATATCAACCTGTTGAGGACCACGTTTGACTAGGTCACATCGTTGAGCATCAGAAACTTGTTCAGGCCAGCTGGCTGGGTCACAAGCAACGGAACTAAACGGTGGCAATGGTAGAGTGTACAACTTTTCTATTGTGTTAGGTTGATTATTCGCAATATCTAACTGTTCATGAATGACCACTTTATTAGAGCAATTTTTTTCATTGCTGGTGCAATTACTTGGAATAGGTGTAAAGAATGATGTAACTTTGGGAAGTTTGCTAATTGCATCTTTTGTTGCTGCTGCCTCTTTTCTTTTAGTTGCACCTGACTTTGAAGGCTTCATTATCTAAAATGAAAAATAGATTTACATGATTTTTATTCATAGTATTAGACTGTAAAACAATATTTTAAATGTATACAATCTATAAAAACTATATATTATTATAAATAAGGTTTGGGTTTAAACAGAAAAAAAGTTTTTTTTTGTATGCACTTTGCATGCACACTTGTATGCGCGTGCAAATTATGCACAAGTATTTTTAAATACTTAACACAATGTTAACAACAGATAATTTTACATTTTTTTTACAAAATTTTTATAATAAATTCTTATGTTATTGGAAAAGAATGTGTATTAGGAAATCCATTTAAATATTATGTAAAAAATATATTCTTATTAATGTTATAATCTAGTAATGAAAAAGCAAAAAGTATCATCCATTGCTGATAAAACTTAACCACTAAAATGTAGCTTATATATTATTTACAAACTATATAAACAAATTAATTTCTGCTTACTTAAAAGTGTTTTTATGTAGACAACTGGAATCGTTTCTACAAATACAATACAATTAAAAAACCCGTGAAAAACTAGAGTTTGAAAAATGTGAATCAAATAATTTGGAGTTTTGTATACAAAAGTTTAACTAAAATTAAGTATAGATTAACTTAGCAATACAATAGCATATTTCTCAATAGGTTTAGCATAAACAAAAGCGAAACATTCTAAACAAAAGTTTAACTAATTTAAAACGTCCATTAACTCAGCAAATACAATATCATTTTCGTAAGGTTAAGCGAATTTAAAAAAATTAGAAAACGTTAATAGGTTTTAACATTATATTAAAAAAAAAGTATTTATATCATAATTTTAATTTAGTCATCATCTCAAAAAAAAAATTTGCATACTGCATAGAAGGGCCCCTTTAAATTTACGGCCCCCCCCCAACCGGGGGGTTTGGGGGGCTCTAGGCACGGCACTGGTTACAGTTATAAAAAGTTTTCTAAGTCAACTAGTTACAGTTATAAAAAGCATGTTATTTTTATTACAAATATAGCCTGTAAAAAACAGTTAAAAAATATACTATAAAGCCTACAAAAGTTTTGTCAAAACCTTGATCCCTTTTTAAAATATGGCATAAAAACATTTTCAAGTCAAAAGTTTAACTATGAAATCAAACTGGTGAGTTATTTAAACCATTTCGTTTTGTAAACAATTTTTTTCGCAATATTTAATGTTATGAATATGAATTATAATTCATAGGCTGAATATAATATGCTATTATAATAACATTTGGAACAGTTTTTTTTTCAAAACATATCCGCCATAATTACCAACTTAGTAAGAAAACAATAAGGCACTTTGCTTTTTGAAAATAGCTGGGCATAAAAAGACTGGGAAATAAGTACATCCACAAAACAAAAAGCAATCTAGCCACGGGCTACGAGTGTTAACGGCATACAACTTTCCAATAAAAATATTTCACTTTAAAAAAAAAACAATAATTTACTCAGCCTATGCCGTAAAATCAGGTAGTTTGTGGCTTAGCCACAAACCAATGCGATGACCGATCTTTTTTTAATTCGATCTGAAATCAATAGCTAAAAATTGTTAGATACCTACTTAAAATCTTTTGGTGTTACTGCTTAAATACCATCTTCAATATTTAATATATTCGTTTCATTGCTTGAGTTACGGGAAGAACCAGCAAGGCAGTGTACAATTCTTTAAAGAAGTGGTATGGTAACAATCCATTTGAATAGAGTCTGTTAAGTTGATCAAGGACGTAAAATAAGAAGGACGTTCATTGTTATAGATCGCATTGTTATAGATCAAAGGTGCCGCTAAATAAGTAAAATCTATGTGTGTTACCGTCAATTTTATAAATTCCAGATACTGAAATTCCGAAGTCTATACGTCAAATTTGAATCGCTATACTCCACTCAGTAAACCCTGTATAAATATGCATATAATGAAGCTTAAGGTTAAAAAAAGACACATAAGTTTTTCAAAAATAATTCACAAGTTTGAAAAATGTTGATTTGAGTTATAAGCTTTGCTTAATAAAAATAAATCTGTGATTTAAATTTGACGTCTAAAATTTGACGTGTGATTTAAATTTGACGTCTAAAATTAAGCTTTTGCACAAAGGCAATGTATAGTTTACTAGAATGGATGGAGTATAGTAAAGCATATTTTTTACGTTAAATTGAAATTACTATGATATAATATAAAGGTCGAATAAGATAAATTCAGTATTTTTTTCACTCCACTCTCTAATTATACATCCCACTTTAGGGTTTGAATAAGAGAATATTTCTTATTTTTGTAGGAAATGTCGAACTTATTTGCCTCACTTTTTTTTTTAATAAAACTTTTTTCGCGGATAAAGTTTCTTATTTTCGATGCCAAAATCGCATTTCAATTTTAGAAAATTTTAATTTTTTAACGTATTTTAACTAAAAGCAACTTTTACAACAAAATTCATAAAAAAATTATTGATTTCAGGAGTTAGAAAGAAATATAAAGTATGTATTTTTAAATAGTATTTTTATTGAAACATTTTTAAACAGTCGGTCGTGTAAATGAGTACTTTGACTTAAACAGCAATTGATATTTTTAAACAGTCAGTTGTCGATAATCACTATTTGACTTAAATTAAGTTAAATTATTATGTTGTTATTAATTATGCTACATTATTATGTTGTTATAAACAATCTTGTTATTAATCTATATTATATATTATTATATACTCAAATTTCTTAAATGCAGGGTATTTAAAAAAATTTGAAAGTATGTTATGTTTTCTTTTCTTGTGTGTGTGAAAAAATTTTTTAAATGGATGACTAAGTATGGATTTTAACATGTTTACACTTTTAGTATAGAACTAAAACTGTTATGTAAATATTTTTTACAAAAATACAATAAAAAAACCAAATAAAGTTCCTGTGTGTATTTACTCCGAATGCAAGTGTATATTCAATCTAAATCAAACCGCGTTATTGCATAGGATATTTTAAAAGAGTTTTGTAATTTTATTTCAACAAAATTTTTTAATAAAAACGATGCAAAAAAACTGCTTTGATTAGAAAATAAACGCTACCATTAAACCACGCGTCCCATCCTCAAACCAGCCGTAAACTATTTACGGAAGCCCCACGCCAATCCCAGTAAAAACCCAGATTTTATTTGCGGGATATTTTTACTCCATACTGGATCCATCTGACACCCAGAACAAATTCCAGACCGAACCCAATCCCAGTAAGCGCAACTCAATCCCAGTCAATCCCAGCTGGAATCCAGTTGGGCTGGTTAACTGGGTATTCCTTGTGGATTTTTTAAGTTTGTCTCATTTCTATTCAAATCAGTTAACTTTATCCTGAGATTAGTTGGCGCTTTTATCAAGTTAAACAAGAATGTTAAACCTCAGCAACAACAGCGCAACAACTCAGCAACAACAGCGCAACAGATCAACAACAACAGCGCAAAATTTTCTGATTTTGATCTTATTGATACCCTCGAAGCTCTGTGAATAAAATAATATCCGTTTGTAAAAAATTGTGACTTTTAAATTGCTTTTCTATAGCTTTTCTATTGTTTTCATAATGCAACTATGAACAATATTAGTGTTTGCAGTGCTTCCATTCCAGTGGCTTGTAAATAATTAGAAAGTTATTTGTATACTAGCCTTATATTTATATACTATATTTATATAATACTCTGTAAAATATACTTAGTAAAATTTATTTTGCTTCATCTTTGAAAGAAATTATTTTTTATAATGACTAGCAATGGAAAAAAAGGAAAGATTTAATCCATTACAAAAATTAACCAATTATTACAAAACATTTTAGTTTTAACATAAATCTGTTTTGTGGTAGTGAGAAGAAAGGTTGTGTAAAAGCAAGGTATTACTGATTAGCAGCTACAGAGAAGAGACTTTTTTAAAAAGAATAAAATTAATTAAAAAACCAAACGCACGCTTGAGCTAATAATCTCTGACAAACCAGACCGCTCCATAGAAATCACTAGAGCAGATCATCTAGGCGATACACTAGGAGGTCAAGCACATTGCATGATACACGGACTCTTTGCTTTAACTGGGCACAATACAACAACTACTCCGATGAAAAAACGATTCATCTGGAGCAAAGCAGACTACAATTCCATATCAACATGCATATCATCTATAGATTAAATAGCAACTTTTAATGGAAACTCTGTGCATAAAAATTATAAGATTCTAGTTAAAAACTACAACAACGCAGTCAATAAATTTATTTCAACAACAACCTCACCGTTCTATAAAAATTATCCGTTGTGGATTACGCCAGAAGTACTTAAAACTATCAAAAAAAAAGAAAAGCTATGGGGTAAGTATATTTCTGCTGATCGCAAAACATACGAAGCACTTCGAGTAAAACATAAACTTGCTTGCGAAATAGTTATGAAGACTATAAATAAGGCGGTATTCCATCATGAGGAGAAACTGGTCAAAGATTTAAAATCTCACCCAAAAAATGTACATGCGTATGTAAGAAGTAAACAAGAAGTTAAAGTTCCTCTTCGTTCAATCGAAACTGACAATGGCATTATTACAACAGATAAAAGCATAATTTGCTCCACCTTCAATAACTATTTTCAGTCTGTCTTTGAAACTGAACCTGATGGCAGTATGCCAACATTTCCCGATCGTACTCAAGCAACATGTAAAATTAATGAAAATTGGTTTACAATTGAAAACGTTCAAAATCATCTAAGCAATCCTGAAGAGACTAAATCAATTGGTGTAGATGGAATCCACCAACGTGTATTACGTAACTGTGCAGCAGCATTTGCAATACAACTCAACTCTATTTTTAGACAATCTTTATTGTCTGGTTCTGTACCTTAATATTGGAAAAAATCAAACATTACGCTCATCTTTAAGAAAGGGAGCAAGCTTAAGGTCTACAATTATCTAACGGTCTCCCTCATCTCAATACCGTGCAAAGTAATGGAAAAAAAAATTCACAAACATATTATGGCGCACTGTGAGGAAAATAATCTAATCTCCAAGCATCAGCATGATTTTATTCGTAAAAAGGAATGTCTGACTAACCTCCTCGAAGCTCGCGACATACTTACCGAGGCTATGCACCAAGGTTACAAGAGCTGATATTATCTACACAGATTTTGTTAAGGCATTCAATAAAGTCCCGCACAAACGTCTTCTACATAAACTAAAAGCATACGGCATTCACAAAAAAATGCTACTTTGGATTAAAATGTGGCTAAAAGATCGTAAGCAACGTGTTGTCTTGGGAGAACACGTTTCTGAGTGGAAGAACGTCACAAGTGGAGTTCCGCAGGGTTCTGTTTTGGGGCCACTGCTTTTTATTTTGTTTATAAACGATCTTCCTGATAGTATTGTTCACAAAATAATGCTATACTCTGATGACAGCAAAAATATTGGGATCATAAAGTCGGCATCGTATAACACAACGCTTCAGGCAGATATTGATAACGCACATTCTATATATCTTATGTCCGGCCACATCTAGAGTTCGCCATTCAAGCCTGGTCCCCGTATCTCGAAACAGACATTAAGTTGCTTGAGGATGTTCAAGACCGCGTCACTAAGACAATGTCATCTATCAACCATTTTGATAAAATAAAGCGTCTGCAGGTACTCAAACTAACTACCTTCAAATAAAGTTCTAATGGACCACAAACCGAGTTGCGGTTCATTGGAACTCTCTCACATAGCACGCGGTAAACGCTCCGTCTTTAAATGCATTTAAAGATCGGTTTTCAATAAACTGTTAAATCATCATAGAGACTCCTGGAAAAGTCTCTTCATCAAATTAATAAATTAACATTTAAATATATACATATGTATATGTATATATTTTTTAATTATGTTGCTTTTCTACCAATTTATAAATTGTTATGTTGTAAAACTACGATTAATAATGGTAAACTTAAAAAAAAAATCTAAAATATAAACAAAATAAATATATTTGTATCAAAATACTGATACGATCTTGAAACAACAAATCATAAAGGAAACTGAAAAAATGCTAAGAAAATATTACTATAAACAATGAACAGATACAGAAACTACAAACATAACAGAAGTATTTTTTTTCTTTCAAATATTTAATAATCAAAATGCATTTTAGTGTTATAAATGGATTTCAAATAACAGTATTTTTTTCTGTATTATCTATTTGTATTACTGATAAATTATATATTTTCTTGATGGAATACTTTTATAATATATTTTCCAACTGACGTCCATGCAATAAAAGTTGAATATTCTCTAATTGTCATTTTGGATACATCTTTATCGTAAACATTGTCAACAAAACGATGAAAAAAAGAGTTAGAAATGTTTAAATTTTTCTTGAGAATTTCATTTAATCTTTCTATGAAACGAAACTTATCGAATTCACAATCATCATGCCAACAATGAATATGCGGAGTTTCCCATAAACTAGAATTAGAGCATGAAGATACGTCTAAATTGCCTTTGTACAAGTCTGAGAAATCTTCAATCCAATGGTTAAGTGAAATTTCTGCTCCGTACATTGAAGAGACTGGCCTCCACCACTGGGGCCAAAGACCATCTTTGTTTTCTTGTAGTTTTATTTTTTCTAACCCAGGCAAGTTGGGATTAAATTCATTTAAAAATATGAAAGCTGTGTTCTCTAAAACTTTTTTTGATAAATTGATAAACAACTTTGACTCCCCAAACCATGTTGATCCAACATCATGAACTCCTTTATGCGTCATATTCAACTTTAGTGATATTTGTTTTAACCTTTTACGTGTAAAAGAAACACTATAACCCCCTATTCCTACTAACAATTTTTTTTTAGCTTTCCATGTGTACAATGCTGGGGTTAGAAACACATCGTAGTCGGTACGCATCGTATACTTATACGGCTTTAAAATTTTGTATATATCGGTTCGATTAAACATTATAAAGGAGTTGATTGCATCATACCCAATATCAATCTCATAATCTTGTCGAATATACCAACATCGTTCGTCATTTTCTTTTTTATCTAATAGTGAATTATATTTTTGACAAACGGTTTTTAGTGTACCTATATTATCAACATGCGTAAATACTATAAGGTTCACGCGATTTACAAAACGTTGCGTTTTACTAAATTCATTTTTTTTATTACTTATATAACTCCAGGAGCCATACAACATAGTTAAAAAAGTTCGTACTTCGCTAGGTGACGAAGGTATGTAACAAGTAACAGCTATACGGTAAAACTCGGTTATTTTTTTACTTTCATTTTTACTTTTCTGATGCAAAGATATTTTATGCAATGATATTTTCTTCAAAGATTGTTCATTCGTGGGTGCTTTATGTGATAATGCTTCATGTAAGAATATTTTATGCCAAGTTGTTTTACGTGAGGATGTTTTAAACGAGTCATAAAATTGAACTAAAGTAAAATCAAATAAATAGTTTAATGCAAAAGCACAATGCAAAAGTTAAAAAGGTATATCTAAAAAATAACAAACAATTAAGCTAACTTCTGAAACTGTACATAAGTATCCAAATGATTATTAGCAGAAGACAAATGAGAAACAAAAAACGTGCATAGAATTTCATTGAAAGTTTTTCGTGTGTGAATGAAAAAAATTGGTTACATTAGTTTCGTATGAACGAAAAAATTGGTTGATGTAACGTTGGTTACATCAGTTAATTCTAGTATTTTAGTTAATTGTGTTAAATCCAGCTTCAGTTTTTTTATTTTAACTTGTATTATGGTAAGTTTTTTGACTATTAAAATATTTAAAAGAGCTTCTGTTTATTATTGAGTATTCAAATAATATTGATATTAATTATTTAATGTCAAATTTACTTTACAACATTTATTCATGGCTTTGCAGGACAACACACACACGCGTGCGTCAAAAATGGTAATTTAATCAACAGACTACACGAGTAAAAAAATAGTATACTTCTTTGGAGAAGAAACAAATATTAACTAATTAATAAATATTTGAAAATTTTTTTTCTTGAACTATAGTCATTAATAAGTCCAACTCTAGTTCTATGGAGACCTTTTAATATATATTACTCATACTACTATACTAAACTTTGAATTCTCCAGAGATATCTCTTTTAAACCACTATAGATTTTAATACATTTTACGCATTTATAGATTTAATGGTTCAAAAAAACTTTGTTTACAATGTCTAAAAAAGCAAGTGGTATTGACGCTTTTTTCATATTTTATAAATAACCAAATAATTTCATAGTAAAATATCTCAGCGTTCAAAAAGTTCGAACTCCCTCCTCAATTTGAGGGGGTTACAAATTTTATATGGTCATAATTTTTGAACGCTGAGAGATTATACTAAGAAACTTAAAATTTATCGATAAATATAAGTCTAGTACAAAAAAAAATTTTATGAACTTGTTTCTCACGTTTGGGGCTGGGCGGACAAAAATTTTGGTGTATTTTATTCCCAAGCTCCAATATATAAGCAATTAGGATGCTTTTCAAAAAATGGCATTTTTTGCAAAGCATACTTATTTGACATAAGTATAAACACATAAATGTTTGGAGTTTGCTCCATGTCTGGAAGTTATCTCAGTTATCTAAAAGACCAAAAAATGCTGGATCAGCCCCTAATAAAATACGACAAAATTTTTGCAAATTTTAGGAAAAAAAAAACGTGTTTTATAAATATATATTTATAGTTTAAAAACTTAAATATTTTCGAGTTTTCTTTTTTCTTCTTTAGTTTCTTTCTGTTGTCTCTGGCAACTAGTATTAAATTTTGTTTTATGTCATCTGAATTGTAGTCTCCAATAAAGTTCTGGATTAGTCTGATATTATATTCAACAGGTTTCAGCTTTACAAACCTACCAGTTCAGTAAGCTCCGTTGACCTTGTAATACCAATAGCTTTGATTTTCCTATATGAAACTGCTCGTGGATTTCACACTAGACTAATATTTCCAAAATCTTCTTCTTTAACTTTTCGTCATTGTTTTTGTCAGCAAAGACCAGTGTAACTAACTGTTCTTTTATTTACCAAGCATGCCACTACATGCTGACAAGAAGGGCCTATTCTAGTTTTGAGTTGCAGTCTTATTTCTTAATTTATTAAGCCTTATTTCAAATGATGGCTTAAAGGCAGCCATTTGAAATAAGGCTTAATAAATTATTTTGAAGTTTATCATTTGAAGTCGATTAGCATATAGCATTCAAAGCATATAAAAACAAATAATGCTGATATCTCTATCATCTTCTTCTCTTCTTCATTTATTGCATGGCCTAATTTCTCAGTCATCCTCAGGGTTAGAAGGTATAGAGCATCTGCCATGAACCTTAAGAATAAATTATTATTATTAAATATATATAAAAAAAATATTGAAAATGTACTCTAAAAATCTCTAAAAATTAAGTACTTTAAGGCCTCGCTTGAAATGTTGTACTGGGAAAATCCCAGTAGCTCATTCCAATCAAACCTGATGATCTACTCCATCTTTCCACCTTTTCCTTAATGTTTGATCAGGCTTTCTGCAGTCTTACATATAGTGCTCTTCTGGGTCATTTTATTACTCTCTAGTAAGATTCCATAAAACATGTATCACCTACAGAGAAACCAGAGAAAGAGGATGTTAAAAATTTTGGTGAGAATGTTTATGGCGCCAATAAATACTCCAATTTTGGAAGCAACAGTATCACAATATATGGCAATAATCTGATCAACAGTTTTGTATTACTCTAGAAGATTTAAGATTACATTTGCCTGGTCAACTTCTTGGATCTTTCAGCTTGAACTAATCCAAGGAGGATATTATTTGTGTCATCAATATTTGATAAAGTAATACTAACAGAAATCTTTTTTCAAAAATAACAGAAACATTAAAAATTCTCCTCAGTCTCTTTAATCTTATTTCTGTCGAAGTGCAAGACAAACTTTTTTCCCATCAAAGTTTTCATTATACCTTGTCTTATCTGGTCTGGTATTTATCTTAGTTTTTTGTTCTACTTATTATTCTTACCTAAGTCTTCAGTTTTTTTGAATCTCTTTCAATGAACATAGCTTTAGGAGAAAGGGAACATTCTCAATATTCAGGTCTGCTTTATTGTATATTAAAGCAATGATCGCGGTTTGAGGATCCCAACCCTATATCAAGCAGATACTATAATCTTTAATAATATTTATTATTATCTAAAGAATATATAAAAGTCATATTTCTACTCTAATTGAATTTTAATTTAGTTCACTCAAAATTAATACAACCAACTTTATATTTTATAATCATCATTTGTTTACCGTGGTTTTTACAATAGAATGTGAGATTTGAAGTAGTTTATTGACAGATTCTTCATCTGTGAAAACTACAGCTTCTGACTCTGATACTGAGAAACTTTATTTTCAAATGTAGCCTTGCTTAGAGCCATCTTTTTTTTTTGTCTTTTCTTCACTTCTGTATTTTTTATTCTCTGTTACCAATTTTGTCTGCTCTTAACAGATATTTCAAATTCTTTGTCAACCTCTATTGTAATATATATGTAAATACCCGAGGTACCCGCCCGTTGGATATTGCCCGGGTAGCATTATCAAACAACGGGTAACTGTCATTTGATAATTTTAAAATTCATGTTGTTCATTTTTAAACTTTAAAACCATTAATTGTAATATAAAAGTTTAACGGTATCAATTTGTATGTGAAAGAAAACCTATTTTTTTGTTAAAAATTTCAATAGTTACGATCACCAGCAGAATTACTGAAAACATTCGATATAACGTTCAAAAAGCTATTTGAGTTTCTAATTCAGATATCTAGTTGTTATTACTCAATGAATATTATTACTAATGTGTAAAATGTTTTCCTTTACGTTAAACAGTAGTTATCTAAATTGCTTATAAGTTTGTCTCTCGGACAAAATCTTTTAAAACCTGGAAGACGGAAGAAATAACTATGCTACCAGCAAGAGCATGTACATCCTGCACCTTTAGTGTCATCAGAATACAGTTTCTTTAGAAACGGGTACCCGGGTACCTGCTCATTTGTTCGACGGATACCCTTGCAAGTATTTCACAATTTTCGACAGCCCTTATTGTAATATGTCTAACTATCGTCCAATTTGACTTCTATCAGAGTTCTGTAAACTTTTTTTTAAATTTATATTAATGATAGTTAATAATTACTTATACTAATATATAAGTCATCATCTATAGTATCTTCTATAAAATAAACTGATGACAAAACTTAGATTTATAAACATAGTAATTTAAAACCAATTTTCGGAACAATCACTACTAAACTGGAACACTTTAATTTATGGTTCAGAAAAAATAAACTTTAAATCTTTAAACTGCGAAAGATATGAAAAATTAAAACTGTGAAAAACTATATTTTGTCTCATAAAGCAGGTCAATCAATGCCTCTACCTCTATATATATATTCGAAGAAAATTGTTTATACTCTAAACATGACAATAGAGCAAATTGGTCGTAAGTGAAAAGAGCAGATTTTGTCGTAAGTGAAAACAAATTCAAACAAAATGGGCTGTTAGATAAATAAGAATTTATTTTTTTTAATTTAATGAGTTATATACGATAGAATTTGTTTCTACAAATCTTAAACTTTTAACAATTTTAAACTTTAAATTTTTATTTTCTTGTATTCTAAAAAACAAAAATATATAATAATGTAAAAAAAAAAGTTTTAAAAATGTTTGCGCTATTTTATACATATAAGCCAATTTAAGTTGGCCAAGGACACGTGGCCTAACAAAATCTGTGGTAAATTTATTGAAAAACAAATATAAACTTTGATAACGTTATTTTTTGATAGTTTCTAGTCTTTTAAAATTTTTTCCATAAAAAATAAGATAACTATAACTAACAAAGACAAAATTCAAATAAGTAGCATATCAAAGAAAAAGAGTGGGCCAACTTGCCCCGGTCTACTCAAAAGTTTACCAAGAAAAATTTAAGAGCAACTTAAAAAAGTATGAGGATAAAGAGAGTTTATTTCTAAATGTATTAACATATATTTTTTGACTTTGCACTGGATTTTCAAGGGTTGTGAAATATGTAATTTTGTTTTAAATTTATACCAGTTTGAACAAAGTGTGCTTCGCTATATATAGAATGTGCCGAAAGTCAGAAAAAAGGTTATCATTATCAAGATTTTAATTTTACGTCCAATAATTAAGTTTTATGTTGTATTTAGTGTGTCCAGCCGGGGTGGAGTAGTGAGGAGTAAATAATTTGAGTACCAGCTTTTTTTTAATTTTAACACGTAAACACCATTCTAACTTTTTTTCGTTTTTTACTAATCTTAGCCTAATCTAATGTTCACATAAATAATCTAATGTTCATACTATTAATCTAATGTTCCTATTCAGCCGGCAGGACACCGGAACATTTCTTGGTGGGCCGGTCTCTTTTTTAAATACAACAATGC